TGTGAAATCTACGTATCGCGCGAAACGTTGGTAGCTGGACTGTTCTCTCTCTGGCGTCCTGTAGCGTCCAGATGTTCGGCTAATTCCGATTTCTGAATCCATATACATTTGCAGGCGGTTCAGTGCTCGGTAGGCCTTGTTTGTACGGCCCGACAAGTCTCGCTCACATACAAACTAACACATGAGCACAAAAACGTACCACAACTTGATCTGTAGAGGGTGTGTGAAGCTGCTGCAAAAGACTGCATGACCGAGAAAAGTGTTGTTATTTCTTTATAGATGCTCCTGACCTTCCATTTCCTCAGAATTAGGCCTATCTTTATTGAAAGTTGGCAGGATGATGGCATTAGGAACATGGCCGAAGAGTTGTCTAATGTCGTGTTTATTCGTAAATAATGGTTTCCGGCCACTAAATATTTTGGAATTTTGAAATATTTGACAATTAATCCCAACGGAGAATGGTTCTGAACTTACATTTTCCTTAGTCTTTCTGATTCCTGATCTTGATGATTTCAGTACACAAGATGTTAACTCCTCATTCTCGTTGATTTCACTACTTCTAACTTTAACTTTATGAGTATGATTAGAAAATAAATTAATAATGAAACACACACTGGTTGGTCTTTTGCGAAGAAAAGTTGGGTTTCAAAGAATCATGTGCTTCATAATTGTTGAGCTCACTTCCATTTCGAGTGAAATTGTTTGGTTTAGCACCAATTTCTCTCTCACATGAGAAAGAAAAAGAAAAAAATCATCAAAATAAACAGCGGTACGTTCGAACTTGCGCATTCGAGCTGAGCGATAAAAGGTATCCAAAGACGTGGTGACGGTAGTCATCAAACCTTGTCAGCCGAGAATAGACCTCACTTTTTTCCGTTCTCATTACTTTAATCCATCACTTCTGGTTTCGGACATATGCACACACATACAGCCACATGCACATACAGAGACAAACGTACTCACATGACTGGAACTAACCAAATCACTTTATACTTCATCAAACAGCTTAGATGTCGAGTGAAGATACAGCATTTTAATGTTAAGTCTGATAGCTTAACACCTTCCCAGCGGAATCGAATGAGATGCCGAGAACCGAGAAGCCGTATCGCCTTGAAATCATGCCTAAATTAATTGGGAGTGAGTGATAGTAAATAAAATAAAAAGATTAATTAACCAAAGCCGACGCTTTGCATTTTCATTAACTCTACGTGCAGTATTACTTGAACACGAAATGGGCTTATTTGCCCGAAAAGGATTTACTGAAGTTATCAATGTCTACTTCCAGGCGATATAAGTAGTATAGTCAATTGTAACGGCATAACACAACCTTGCCTCTTTCAAATGTGATGCTGTGGACAAATTCTACTGTACATCAAATGTATTCTTCCCACTTTGTCTAGATTGAGTAGAACTGATGTTGTAATTGCATTTCACATCGCCTTGCTTGCACAAAAGCGTCAACTGCTCTTTTGACATCGCCTCGGTCTTATCAACAGCCCCAGCAGGAGTCGAACCATGACCGTGTAGCGTGTAATCTCGACACACCACATTGCCAAGAGTGCCGTTTGACTTCAGAGAAGATGTGACTTTCAAGAAAGGTCAGGCATTCTCTCACATCACATTCTATGTTGGGATTATTGATGTAGCAGAGTTGTAATTGTTATCACAATCGACTATATTAACTATTTTTCGTTACTACATCGGCTTTTGAGACCACTCTTATCGCCCTGAACAAAATTGGATAAATACATATCATATCATAT